GTAGCCAGGTGCCATGGCATATGCCTATAATCCCAGCACTTTGGGAGGCCAACGCGGGCAGATCACGAGGTCAAGAGATTGAGACCATCCTGGTCAACATGGTGAAACTCTGTCTCTACTGAAAATACAAAAATTAGCTAGGCGTGGTGGTACGCCTGTAGTCCCAGCTATTCCGGAGGCTGAGGTAGGAGAATCTCTGTCTCAAAAAAAAAAAGGTGTAACTCCAGACATGATTGTGATGTATAAGAAAGCTCATGCTGCTATACGAGAGAATCCAGTCTATGAAAAGAAGCCCAAGAAAGACGTTATAAAGAAGAGATGGAACCATCCCAAAATGTCCCTTGCTCAGAAGAAAGAAGCTGAAAAGAAGGCAGGCTTTGTCAGAGCTCAGGAGTGGGATGCTGAGAGCTAAACCAAACAATTTTCTATGAGGATTTTTCAGATAAAGACAATAAACTTACAGAGAGCAATTAAAAAAAAAAATAGTATTCAGCTACTTGGGAAACTGAGGCGGGAGATCAGTTGAGGCCAGGAGTTCCAGAGCAACCTGGGCAACATAACAAGACCCTGTCTCTAAAAAAAGGTTTTTAATTAGCCGGATATGGTAGCACACACCTATAGTCCCAGCTGCTTGGGAGGCTGAGGTGGGAGGATTGCTTGAGCCTAGGAATTTGAGGCTGCAGTGAGCTGTGATTATGCCATTGCACTCTACCCTGGGTGACAGAGACCTTGTCTCAAAAAAGAAAGAGAGAGAGAGAGAGAAAGAAAAAAGAATTCATATTAAGTTTTAACACATTTACTAACAATAGTTAACATTATTGGGTGTTTCCTGTGTACCCTTTATTTAATATTTTTCCTTGTATTATCTCATGTACTCCTTATAACAGTCTCATGGTTTTATTATGTAAATTTTATAGATGAGGAAACCAAGGTTAAGTAAGTTGCCCAAAGTCACATAGTGAGCGGACATGTTTTTAGTCTTTGTACAGTAGCTGCCCCTAAATATGAGATATTGTACAAGGTCTTATAGAGAATTAAAGATGAGTAGTACATAGGCATTCCCTGTTCTAAGTAGAATAAGAAAAAAATACTAACCTAACAACAGAAAAGTAAATTACTTGACAAGTAAATTACAATGTGAAAATGTTACCTTCTTTTAAGGAAAACTCAAATACAAGTGGAAGGGTATTTTCAATCTCTTGACATGAAGGAGCAGTATTTGAAGGCTAGATTCTCCATCAGGTCATTTATTTGACTGACTGTTCATATTACCTTGAAAGTATGGAGAGAGACATTCTTTTGGAGTGAAAGCCTTTGGTATTGAAGCTGGCGTGAAAGAATATTGACATAAATATTACAGTTACTTTTCTCCAAAATATTTCTTAAATCATGTAAACTCGAATGGCCAGAAAACTAAAATAAAACCATCAGACAAACTTTTTGTCCCCATGAGCATAGGAAAACCAGAACTAGCGTTTTGTTTTGTTTTGTTTTGTTTTGTTTTGTTTTTTGTTTTGTTTTGTTTTGTTTTGAGGCAGAGTCGCACTGTCACCCAGGCTGGAGTGCAGTGGCGCAATCTCAGCTCACTGCAACCTCCTGCCTCTGAACTAGCATATTTTAAGATTAATTTCCCACAAACTGTCATATTATTCTCTTTGGTGTAAACAAAAGAAAATCAGTTGTAAGACAGCAAGACAAAATGGCAAATTAGAATCATAGTATTTTAGGCCAGAACATGAATAGCCCTAAGATTTGTCATGTTATGGTTATTAAAAATAATTCAGCAGATCTCTAGAAGAATATGGAAGAAACTGGAACAGTGGTTGCCTCTGGGGAGAGGAATTCTATGGCTAAATGATAAAGTATATGAGTGAGAAATTATTTATTTTTCTATGTGCATGTATTATCTATTCAAAATACTCATTGTAATTTTTACTTAAAATATTCAGAAACATCCCTGAAATGTAAACATCTTAAAGCTTTAATTATTGAGACTTAACACAGCAGTGATGTGGAAGAATAATTCACAGTAATATTAATCACATCAATAAGTACTGATTAGGCACGTTAACATCTGTTAATGGCTGGGTGTGGTGGCTCACACCTGTAACCCGAGCACTTTGGGAGGCCAAGGTGGGCAGATCGCCAGAGCTCAGGAGTTCAAGACCAGCCGGGGTGACATGGTGAAATCCTGTCTTTATAAAAAAATACAAAAAAGTAGCCAGGCATGGTGGCGTGCGCCTATGGCTACTTGGGAGGTTGAGGTGGGAGGTTCACTTGAGCCTGGGAGGTCAAGGCTGCAGTGAGCTGAGATCACACGACTGTACTCCAGCCTGCGTGATGGAGGAAGACCCTGTATCAAAAAAAAAAAAAAAAAAAAAAAATCAGTTATTGCTTTTTCCTCTTTAGTATAGCGAGCTGCTTCTAAAAATGATTCCCTCTTTTTCAAACCGATAGAAGAGGGAGAGAGAGAAATAAGTCACAGGACAGGAGTCTTCCTAGAAATACTGAAAAATATCTACTATTTTGTTATTTCATGAAGTCTCAAACTAAGTTTAAAAGTTAAACAACAACAATAGGGCTGGAAACCTTAGAATTCTAAGTCCAGCCCACAGACTTCTAAAGACTTCCACTGAAACAACACTCTGCCTACTGAGCATGCCCAGTTAGCTCCTCATCACCAGCAGAGAGTTCTATCACAGACTTGAAGATATGCTGAGACTGCAACAGTAGTGAGTTTAGACTGTGCTCGGTATTGAGGGGGAAAAAATAGCATAAAGGAAAAGTAGATGTGACCCAAAGAAAGTCTTCCCAAACTAACCATGACCCTAGAGAGCCAGACCCTCGGCATGGCGTCTTTACTATGTCTAGGGAAGTGAGGTGAGTGGTTAGGGTCCAAAAGCCTAGAAAATGTCATTAGTGAAAAGGAAAAAGTAACAGGTCCAGTGGGCAAGCAGGCAGGCCTCCAGGTGTCCTTTTTTCTTTCTTTTTTCCCTCCCAGCAAATTAGTGAATATTCGTGGAGGAGGGATTAAAATACTAGAAACATCAGCCAGTCAGACCTTCCAAAGGGTTTCACCTAAACTTAATACCTTAAATGCACCAATGTTATATCAGATGATGTAGGATTTTTCTGGTTATAATTGTATATACTGGCCAAGCCTAGTCTCATACCTATAATCCCAACACTTTTGGAGGCTGTGGTAGAAGGATTACTTGAGGCCCAGAGTTTAAGACCAGTCTAGGCAACATAGCAAGACCCTATCTCTACAAAAAGATTTTAAAATTAGTCGGATGTGGTGGTGTTCACTTATAGTCCCAGCTACTCAGGAGGCTGAAGTGGGAAATTCCTTAAGCCCGGAGTTCGAGGCTGCAGTGAGCCATGATCACACCACTGCCCTCCAGCCTGGGTGACAGAGCAAGAACCTGTCTCACTAAGAATAGTAATAATAATTATATATACCAATAAACAATTCTTAATTTTTTTCTTTTTTTTTTTAGCTTTTGGGAAACAGCTTCATTTTTCATCACAGCATGCTAACAACACTTAATTTTCTTGCTAATTAAAATAATTTATTTTTTTTGAGACAGAGTTTCACTCGTCGCCTGTGGTGGAGTACAGTGGCTTGGCCTCGGTTCACTGCAACCTCTGCCTCCCAGGTTCAAGCAATTCTCCTGCCTCAGCCTCCCAAGTAGCTGGGACTACAGGCATGCACCTCCACACTCGGCTGATCATGTATTTTTAGTAGAGACAAGGTTTCACCATGTTGGCCAGGCTGTTCTCAAACTCCTGACCTCAGGTGATCTGCCTGCCTCTGCCTCCCAAAGTGCTGGGATTACAGGTGTGATCCACCTCACCCGGCCTATTGTAAATATTTAAGGTGTACAACATGATATTTTGATATACATATAGTAAAATGGTTACTATAGTTAAGTATAGTCCTCAAAATAATTTTTAAAGTCACTAGCACTTCCCATTTTTGAAGAAGAAATCTCGTTTTCTTGAATGCTGACTTTTAATCCTTAACACAATCTGTAATCTTTTAGGTAAGAAAACAGGAAACATTTATTTCTTAATATTTTAAGATATTTGAACAGCTTTATATTTTATTTCCTAAGTACCATAGGAAGCATGTTATTATGGTAAATGTTAGTATAATGTATCATTTGCTATTGTCATTTTAGTTGTGGTGGTTGTGATGTTTAATTTGAGTGGGGTGACTTTTTTCCAGAATGGAATCACTAGTTCCCCTTGTACAGAGTTTGAAAAAACGGATGGAAGTACCAGACTATGAAATGGTAAATATTTTATATTAAAGTATAAAATTGACCCTTTAGAAAGACAATTTTCTGGGTAGAAAAATTTGCTTTTTGCTAAAGTAGTTCGTTTTTATTTGTGCTCCTGTGAAGTCTGAAAGAATTATTAAGAAATGAGTGAAAAAACACATACATTGAAATAGAATACTGGAAAAGTTCCAGAAAAAACATTTTTTCCTCAATTTTATGTATCGGGCAAAAGTCCTGTGTTTTTTTTTAAATTTTGTCTGTGGTCAGATCTCTCTTCAGCAGCCAAAAGTACACAATTTCTAAAATTGTCTGTTTTTTATGGATGAGTATTTATGCTTTCTTCTTCCTTCCTTTTTTTTCCTTCCTATTTAAAACCTTTTCTGTTTGCGAAACCGAAAGACAAAGAAAAAAGGGAGAGCTGTGACTAGCACATTTTAAATGTGTTAGGTGTTTGTCAACAGGGATCTGAATGCTGTGACCAAAGATACTTTGAGTCATAATTTCTTTTATTTTTATATCATTTTGCCGTCTTTGAAGCATATGTTTTCCCTTTTGACCTTGTACTTGAGATGAGAAAGCTGTAGCTTAAAATGTTCAAATGACTTCTCTCAGATTTGATGCCAAGGCCAAGACTTCCACGTCTCCTGCCCCTTAGTGTGGTCTTTCTCTTACTTCAGTAAGCTGAGTTTGCATGTTTTATTTACTTATGGAATACAGTCAGACCACTTGTTTGATTGAAGTATTGATTTAAGTATTGATTGAATTTATAAGATTTTGCTGGTATTCTTTAAAATAAGAGATGTCTGTTTTCACACTGCTGATAAAGACATACCAAAGACTGGGCAATTTACAAAAGAAAAAGATTTCATGGACTTACAGTTCCATATGGTTGGGGAGGCCTCACAGGCATGGCGGAAGGTGAAAGGTATGTCTCATATGGCAGCAGACCAGAGAGAGCTTCTGCAGGGAGACTCCCATTTTTAAAACCACGAGATCTCGTGAGACTCATTCACTATCATGAGAACAGCGTGGGAAAGACCCGCCTCAACAATTCAGTTACCTCCCACTGGGTTCCTTCCACGACATGTGGGAATTGTAGGAGTTACAATTCAAGATGAGATTTGGTTTGGGACACAGCCAAACCTTATCATTCCATCCCTGGCCCCTCCCAAATCCCATGTCCTCACATTTCAAAACCAACCATGGCTTTCCAACAGTCCCATAAAGTCTTAACTCATTTCATCATTAACTCAGAAGTTCACAGTCCAGCATCTCATCTGAGACAAGGCAAATTCCTTCCACCTTTGAGCCTGTAAAATCAAAGCAAGTTAGCTACTTCCTAGATACAGTAGGTATACAAGCATTGGGTAAATACAGCCATTCCAGATGGGAGGAATTGGCCCAAAAAAGGGGCAATGCAAGTCTGAAGTCCATCGGGGAAGTCAAATCTTAAAGCTCCAAAATGATTGTCTTTGACTCCATGTCTCACATGCAGGTCACACTGATGCAAGAGGTGAGCTCCCATTGTCTTGAGCAGCTCCACCAGTGTGGCTTTGCAGGGTATGACCTCCCTCCTGGCTGCTTTCACAGGCTGTTTTTGAGTGTCTGCAGCTTTTCCAGGCACACAGTGCAAGCTGTCAGTGGATCTACCATTCTGGGGTCTGGAGGACAGTGGGCTTCTTCTCACAGTTGCACTAGGCGGTACCCCTAGGGACTCTGGGTGGGGATCCTACCCCACATTTCCCTTCCATACTGCCATAGCAGAGATTCTCCATAAGGGCCCTGCCCCTGCAGCAAACTCTAACGCCTGAGCATCCAGGTATTTCCAAACATCTTCTGAAACCTAGGCAGAAGTTCCCAAACCTCAGGTCTTGACTTCTGTGCACTCACAGGCTCAACACTACATAGAAGCTGCTAAAGCTTGGGGCTTGCATCCCCTGAAGCCACAGCCCAAGCTCTATGTTGTCCCTTTTAGCCATAGTTGGAGCGGCTGGGACACAGGACACCAAGTCCCTAGGCTGCACACAGCACTGGAACCCTGGGTCCTGCCCATGAAACAATTTTTTCCTCCTAAACCTCCAGGCCTGAGATGGGAGGAGCTGCCGCAAAGGTGTCTGACATTCTCTGGATACATTTTCCCCATTGTCTTGGGGATTAACATTTGGCTTCTCATTACTTATGCAAATTTCTGCAGCCAGCTTGAATTCCTCCTCAAAAAAATGAAATTTTGTTTTCTTTCACATTGTCAGGCTGCAAATTTTCTAAACTTTTATGCTCTGTTTCCCTCTTAAAACTGAATGCCTTGGCCAGGCATGGTGGCTCACGCCTGTAATCCCGTCACTTTGGGAGGCCAAGGCAGGCAAATCATTTGAGGCCAGGAGTTCGAGGCCAGGAGTTCAAGACCAGCCTGGCCAACATGTGGAAACCCCGTCTCTACTAAAAATGCAAAAATTAGCTGGGTGTGGTGGCACATACCTGTAATCCTAGCTACTCGGGAGGCTAAGGCAGAGAATCACTTGAACCTGGGAGGCGGAGGCTGCAGTGAGCCGAGATAGCACCACTGTACTCCACCTTGGGTGACAGAACAAGACCATTCTCAAAAAAACTGGATGCCTTTAACAGCACCCAAGTCACCTCTTGAATCCTTTGCTGCTTAGAAATTTCTTCCACCACATACCCTAAATCATCTCTGTCAAGTTGATCGTTCCACACATCTCTAGAGCAGGGGCAAAATGCCAGCACTCTCTTTGCTAAAACATAAGAGTCATCTTTGCTCCTGTTCCCAACAAGTTCCTCATCTCCATCTGAGACCACCTCAGCCTGGATTTCATTGTCCATGTCATTGTCAGCATTTTGGTCCAAGCCATTCAACAAGTCTCTAGGAAGTTCCAAACTGTCCCACATTTCCCTGCCATCTTCTGAGCCCTCCAAACTGTTCCAACCTCTGCCTGTTACCCAGTTCCAAAGTTGCTTCACATTTTCAACAGCACCCCACTCTACTGGTACCAATTTACTGTATTAGTCTGTTTTCATGCTGCTAATAAAGACATACGAAGACTGGGCAATTTGCAAAAGAAAGAGATTTAATGGACTTAGTGTTCCACATGGCTCAAGAGGCCCCACAATCATGGCGAAAGGTGAAAGGCACACGTCACATGGCAGTGTGCAAGAAGAGTTTGTATAGGGAGATTCCTGTTTTTAAAACCATCAGGTTTCTGGCCAGGCGTAGTGGCTCACGCCTGTAATCCCAGCACTTTGGGAGGCCAAGGCGGGCGGATCACAAAGTCAATAGATCAAGACCATCCTGGCCAACATGGTGAAACCCCATTTCTACTAAAAATACAAAAATTAGCTGGGCATGGTGGCACGTGCCTGTAGTCCCAGCTACCAAGGAGACTGAGTCAGGAGAATCACCTAAACCAGGGAGGCAGAGGTTGCAGTGAGCCCAGGTCACGCCACTGCACTCCAGCCTGACAAAGCGAGACTGCGTCTCAAAAAAAAAAAAATGAATTACCAAATTGACTCAGCTAAAGACCAATAATCATAAAATGAAGAAGTAGTTAAAGAACTATTCTAAGAAGAGGCATCTGGTCCAGACAGGTATATAGGCGAGTTCTACCAACACTTCAGAGAGCAAGTAACTTTTATGACATATAAACTGTTAGGGAAAAAATAATCCCAATGCATAAAAATATTAAAAATTAAAAGTTTGTCATATTTAAGGTGTTAGATATCCCAGTTACCCTGATTTGATCTTTATATGCTATTATGAATGTATTACATTATCACATGTACCCTGAAAATATGTACATCCTTTATGTATCAATAAAAATAAAGATTTGTCAATAAGGCTATTAATGATTAAAGAAGCTTTTAAAAACAACCATCATACAGTGTAATTTTTAATTGTCTTATTTTCAGGTTCACCAGGCTGGTTTGACCTGCGATTATTCAGAACTTCCTCACCATATCAGCACAGAACAAGAAATAGAGTATCTGATTCAATCTGTACATTATTTACTGAAAAATTTACCAAAGCCTACTCTTGTGACAATTGCAAGGTAAGTGTGTTAGGCTGAATAATGGCAAACCAGAGATGCCCACATCCTAATCTCTGGAACCTGTAATATGTTGCATTATATTTATGTGCATAAAAGGGACTTTGCAGGGCCGGGTGCAGTGGCTCACGCTTGTAATCCCAGCACTTTGGGAGGCCGAGGTGGGTGGATCACAAGGTCAAGAGATCGAGACCATCCTGGTCAACATGGTGAAACCCTG